CAACATTTTTTTCTATGAATCGACATACTTTAAGCAATGTTGACGCTATTTCCATTTGAATGAGGAAATAGCGTCAATGACTTTATTTCCAAATTTTTGTTGACTTTATTTCGCTTTTGAAAAGGTAATAATGTCAATTGACTTTATTTCCCACCCTGGTGCGAAATAAAGTCAATTGACCTTATTTGCATTGACCTTATTACCTGTCACCTTTTGTGCAGCCTTCTGGTCACTCGACGCTTGGCTTTGTCCGCCGGAGGATGCAGTATGAACTGCCGGATAAAATAGCTCACGCATAGCTCCGGGTCCGACGAAGCATGGTCGCCGAAAGAAAGCTCGCCCTGTCGTCGTGCTTCTTCGGATTGGACAGTGACTTCACGATTGACCAAAGCTTACTCCCCCTAGAGGTGAAGTTGTAAGTCTTCAGATGCTCTTCCCACTTTTTCCGCTTATGTACGTTCACAAGCTGCCGAATCTCCTCGTTGACATCCCTGATACGGGGATTTCCAGGATCGGCCTGACGAAGGTTGTCACGCTCATCGGCTAGAACAGCCGCTTCAGCAGGGAAGTTTGGGCGGGGGTCCGTAATGCATCCTGCCGGTAAGAAGCGAACTGCAGCAGCAGTGACAACCCTGGGGAACTTACGTTCACCAAGGTGGACGTCGGTTGGAGTGGGGAGCGCAGCGAAGGTGCTCTCAGTAAATTCCGCGAAGCCTTTTGAATCAGGATTAGAAAAGTTGATATAGGTCCGGTGTTCCGCGGAAGCAAACTCGGTTGGTTTATCGATCGAGATGACTATGGGCAGATGGTCTGATACCAAAGACAGCATAGGTCGCCATGATACGCTGTTTATCAGACCAGCGCTGACTATTGGGATTGGGCCTCTTCAAGGCACGTAATAAAAGCGGCATTACCGCCGTACTGATGAAAATTTGCAACAATGTTGCAACTGCCCAACTGATAATACCTTGCTATAAATTTACACAGAACGTGATACATTAATAATTCGCGCAACACTGCGGTTATGATTGCAACTCGAACAAGCCCACTGTTATGTCTGGCAAGCTGCAGCAGCTGCCCATAATCCTGGTGGATGCGTCGTCGTTCATTATGCAGAATGTCGAATCGTCTACTACTACAGGCTTGAATGCCAAAGATCGTGGTGCGCATTACAGCCACCAACTACCATACGGTTTTCACCTCTGAGGACCGCACCTATAGGAGGGTGATATCCTGCCGGGCAGCAGGTGACAGGGGGTATATATAAACGTTAAATATTTCGAGCTCAACATCGCCTGACCGGATAGCAATGCTCTGACATTCTAGGGTGGTATCTCTGCCATCGATGTCTACTGAACGCTAAGCCACCACCATTATCTCGCTCGCGATAACGATGGTGCGCGTTGTATCCGCCACACTTCAACAAAGTGGAATTGCTGTACAACTTCGTCTCTTAGACCGCACCTATCAATATACCATGCCTTCCCATGCCGACGGTTATCTCCTCGATCTTGCTCTGAAGTCGTAGCAGTTAAATTGAAGGAGCTTCATGTGGTTCCGGAGACGTGTTGTTATGCGGGGTGTGAGGGATGTGTGTAGCCTTGCCGCCATTCGCAGCGTGCGCTGCTGTGGAGGTTGCCGCCCTGTGATGGTAGTGGGTGGCGTCGAAATTGGGGTTTGCGACCGAGCAGCGCAACACGGGCCCTCGAAGGTCCTCGTCCAATCTCGCCTGGTGCGCAGATGTGAACATGCCCTAAAGTGGCACCAGCCAAGGGAGGTGTTGTACTTGCCTGATGGCACGTTACGGAATATCCTGGTCTGACATACCGTGCAGATTGTACGAGGGACCGGGAGTTGTTGGCGGCGGCGTGTGGTGGTGCGGTTGTCCGTTGTATGGTCTGTCGTGGTTGTGGTGTGGTCTATTGTGTTGTTGTGTTGTGGTGCTGTAGTGTTTGTGTGGAGCTGCCCAGGTGGACTGGGGTTAGCCGCGAAGGCTGCTCTGTTTGAGCAGCAGGGGGCCACAAATGATGTGGTCCACTGCCGATGAGTCGGTAGTCCTGAGTAGACTCTGAGGTGACTCCACCCGTTGCAAGCACTGCACTTGACTGAGGTGGAGTTGTGGTGTAGTAGTCTCTGGCATACATAGCAGGTGTAGGTTTCTGGCCCTGGGTTTGACTCGATAACAGCCCTGAGCAGAAGAATACGTAGCAAATGTAGCCCTATGGACGAACAACTTGATCGGGTAAAACCGAGTAATTCCGGTACGTAGAACCGGCTGTCGCGGGAATGGGTCAGTACATTTACACCTGGTTAAAAGTCAGTTTCCGGGTACTAGCGTACATATCATTTGCGATAACTCAACGGGGACACTTCTTCCATACGTTCCGGAGGTGCGAAGGCTACTATAAAACTTATTTCAAAGAGCTTCGTCTGGAAAGGATTGAGCAGCGACGTAGGAGCGCGGGTGCACAGTTGCCCAGCAGCCAGCATTGAAAGATATCGCGTCACACGAAAGGGGAACTACAGCAATTTTTGGATCCTGGGAAGCGTTGGGAATATGTTAATGTGGAGATCGTCGGCCCGTTTGCACCTACGCTCGGATACACATACTGCTTAACCTAAGTCGATCGTTTTTCACGATGCCGCTGAGACAGTGGCAAGAGAGCTTTTAAACGGTTGGATAAGCCGATTTGGTACGCCAACGTAAATTACTACTGATCAGGGGCGTCAGTTCGAGAGTGCGTGGTTTAAACATAACCCTTTCGTTAGGTTATTTATAGCGACAAATTACTACCAAACCATAATCTTTGCAGATGAATGTGCCAATGGAAATCTTAGACGTAAATTATTGGTGAAAATATTGGACCAAAAACTTTTAATAAACCAAAATTTATTTTGAGCGGGACGAAGTTCGTCGGGTCTGCTAGTATATAATCAGCCTCATTGGGTAAGTCCTAAATTAATCTGAATTGTACGAGTCGACAACAGTAGCATTGTCTATTGTCGTACTAAAATAAGTAAACGACCAAAATCGTCGAAACTATACAGTGCTGCCAAGTTGTTACGTTTTAATACTCTAGTCGAATGGAAATTTTAGGCAATGACGTGAAGTTTTCGATACGATTCGACTCTCGAAAAACTACTTGCATTCGACACGACTCTCGCAATGAGGGTGAATAAGATGGGAAATACTAGGGATGTTCAGGATCTTGTGCATATGCTATTGGATTTCCATTTTCGTTGCATTTGTACATTCACAACAATAAAATGCACGCGGTTGCCATGGAAGCAAGCAAAATATATTCAAATGCAAGGGAAAATGTTCCAAAACGGATCCAGGCTTTGAAAAAAAAATATTATGGAGTATATAGGAGCTTTTTCAGATTCTAAATCTACAACCCCGACCACCTAGGCCCCCTATGGTTCCCTAAGGACCCCTTAGAAAAATGGCCAAAAATCACAATTTTCACTTGCGTCCACAGTATTTTGCGTAGAATTCCTTTGTGCGTTGGCGGCCTTCGGCCGCGCTTTAAGATTATAACCCTTACAAAATAGATTCTCCTTTTGGTGTGCACCAACTGGGGCTACCGCCTCAGTGATGTACCCTTGGGAAAGGATGAGGTAACTAGAATTCACTTTGTGTGGGGTAAACCTGGGGCTGCCGCCCCAGTGATGTCTATTATGGTTACTGGGCGTTTTATAAAAATGTCTTGTATATATATAAAAATGTCTGGTGCAAATGAATATTTAACACTTTTCAAGCGAAAAACCGCAAACGCATTATTCTCGAAGTATCGATTTTATAGTAAAAAGCCCAGCGGCGAAAATTTGTAATGCCATTTTTTATTACAAATTTTCGAAATATATGGAGCTATATCATGGTGAAATAATAATAAGGTGTTGTCACTTAAGGGGTGGTTGTTGTAATTCTGGCAATTTCGGCATACCAGCGTTACAGTAATGCCTACTCTATTTATTCCAATTTACTTTCTGGGCAAAATGGAACAAAAAATGGAGCAGACAACAATTTTGTGAAAAAGTATGCGTAGGTATCACTATCTCTTTGATTATCTTTTTCTCTGACTTTTCGTTTCAAATTTATTGGAAAATCTGAGCGATAGTTTGCAATAATTGTGATTTTGTAAGTAAACTTTTGCTCAAATATATACATATATATGTGCATATTGATGAATTTTGACTGTTTATATATTTCCACATAGGTTGAGCTATTAATCCCCAAAAAAGCGGCGATTTATTCAAGAGAATTCCGGGTAAGTTTTGCAAACTAAATGCATTCACTAACCTAATGTCTTTTTCTCACAAAAGGTTTTCAGAACAGTGCCTTTTAAGTTTTAGAGCTGTTAGAGTTGGTTATTGAAGCAGTGTCTAATCAGCGGCGCTACCAACAGCGGTGTTATAAGCAAGTTCCAGGTAGGAAATAAAAAGCAACTTTAAGAACACCATCTATACGTACTTTCGCTGAACCAAATATTTATTTATTTTCTGTGAGTCTCGGTTTCGCTATCTAAATGTTTAACTTTCTCTTGTCATCTGTGTTGATCTTTGCTACATATGTATAATGTGGTATATATTTTATTTTATTTTTGTTTTAAGTAATATGTATTTATTTTATTTTACTGGTATTTTTAATCTCTGTTTTGTACTATAAAAGATCTATGATCTTATTGTACTAATGCCTTTTCTCTTAATAAATGAAATGAAATGAAATGAAATGAAAAAATTGTTAAATCCAACACAATTATATTATCAGACTCTAACCAGAGCTTATGTTTGTGTTTCTTCCAACAGATTATTGGAGCAGTAACCTATAGGAGAACACTTCCTCCTTTCCAGAAAGGAATTTTGATGAGCAAAAATCTCTACGGTCGTTGTTCCATTGTCTGCAAGAAAAAATTTTGTTTGCGGTATTTGCTAACCTATCGGCTGCACCAAGATGTGTTGGAGAACTTTTTCGGTGCAATGAGGGCGAAGGGTGGGTTGCACGATAATCCAACACCGATGCAATTCAAATATCGGCTCCGAAAATATCTTCTTGGTAGGATAGGCTTATAAAAGATTTTTCTGTAATATATTTAATTAGTATACGTATTTTTTTTGCTGTTCATGTAAAATTTAGCACAAAACACAGTACTCCTCTCTGGAAGAGGAAATGTTGGCGAAGATGATACAAACTGGCTTCCACTGAGAGACATTCCTCATTGTGACTACATCTCGGAATATCTCGTTGAATCTGATGCCTCCATCGTCTCTGCAGATGATTTTAACATAGAGAGCGACATAGACCAGTTCCACGAGCACGCGGTCAAGTATATAGCTGGCTATATTATCCGCAAGCTTCATTTAACTGGTGTGGAGTCCACGGACAATACGTCACTTGGGTTGACGAATTGTCGAAAGGCGGTTTAACAAAGCCTAGTTCTGCGTTTGTGAAGGAGTTATTGATCTTAGAAACTACTTTTATAAAATTTAATGAGAAGGAAATTTATTGCGGTCCAAATTATATGCAACAAATGATTAACGCCTCAAAAACTTCTCACATGGCGGAAAATGTAAAAAAACTTTTTTTTTTAAATGTAGAATGCATTTTCGTATTAAAAATTTGAATAAATCCTTAAAGTGATATAAGTACACCATTTTTAATGTTTGTATGCCTATCCATTGAGTTTAAACAGTTAAACAAAAGTATTTCCAAAGAAATCCACTGATAGCGAGAACTTTTAATATACGTACATATGTATATATTCGATATCAGTATTTGAAATAGTACCCAAATAGTAAAAATAATCCAATTTTTTTCCCCTTTTTCTAGTACCCTCAAATGCATGACTGCAATTGGCATGCAGAAAAAGTGAGGTTATGTAAGTGACATCACCTTATATTTATTTCACCATTGAGCTGTATTAAAAAACTAAGGAATCAAAAAAAAAAAAGAAAATAATTGCTCTTACTGTCGGCCATTGTTATCTCTGTTTGTGAAAAGTGCTAAAACGAGTGAACGAATTTATAAACGCGTTGTACTTAATTGATGAATATATATATATATTAAAAGTATAAAATACCCTAGAAGAAATCTTACTGGCAAATGATCGGTCAAATGACGGTCACTGCTGATGCAATAATGCTGTAATTTCCTCATCAGAAATTCGGGGGTAATATGAAAAACCTGACCAGTTCTTTTGTGTACATGTGACTATGCGTCCTTTTCTCACAAGATTGAGGAGATAACCGTCTTCATGTGTCGGCATGGTATATTGATAGCTGCGGTCCAAGAGACGAAGTTGCACAGCAATTCAACTTTGTTGAATTGCGCCGGGTACAACGTGCACCGTCGAGATCGCGAGCGAGATAATGGTGGTGGCTTAGCGTTCATCACGCACCACACCGTGCAGTATCGTCTAATCGAAGCAGATATCGACCGCAGGGATACCACCCTAGAATGTCAGGGCATCGCTATCCGGTCAGGCGATGTTGAGCTCGAAATATTTAACATATACATACCCCCTGTCACCTGCTGCCCGGCAGGATATCACCCTGATATAGGTGCGCTCATCAGAGGTGAAAACCTTATGGTAGTAGGTGACTTTAATGCGCACCACGATCTTTGGCACTCAAGCCTGTCAAACGATCGTAGGGGAACAGACTTGGCTGAGCAGATAGACGATTCGACATTCTGCACAATGAACGACGACGCACCCACCAGGATTATGGGTAACTGCAGTAGCTCGCCAGACATCACAATAGTCAGCGCTGGTCTGATAAACAGCATAACATGGCGATCTATGCTGACTCTAGCATCAGACCACCTACCCATAGTCATCTCGATAGATAAACCAACCGACTTTGCCTCTGCCAACACCGGACCTATATCAACTTTTCTAAAGCTGATTGGAAAGGTTACGCGGAGTTTACCGAAAACCCCTTCACAGCGCTCCCCACACCAACCGACGTCCATCTCGGTGAACGTAAGCTCCGCAGGGCTGTCACTGCTGCTGCAGCTCGCTTCATACCGGCAGGATGTATATCGGACCCACGATGCGCGAGCAATTTTAGCCGGTAGTTCATACTGCATCCTCCGGTGGACAAAGCCAAGCGTCGAGTGACCAGAAGGCTGCACAAACTGCCAACAACCTGTGCCCCCCGTTCCCACGACAGTCGGGTCTACGTAACCGGAACGACCCAGATTTATATCTGGCCAAGGACTGTCACTCCAGCAACACTCCCCAAAAAGTCTTTGGGGAATTTGTATGCTGCTACAACAACAACAACAACAACCTGTGCCCCCCTTGCTTTCACTTGCGGTGAAGTTCAGGTGGCCATCGGGAAGGCGAAAGCCTCCAAAGCCATGGGTCCCGACGGAATATGCATGCTGATGCTGAAAAATTTGGGTCCTGCGGGGGTAGCGTACCTAACGGAGGTCCTCAACTTGTCTATGGCCACTCTCATCATCCCAGACATCTGAAAGGTGGGGAGAGTGGTCCCACTGCTCAAACCGGGGAAACCTGCCAACAAAGGAGATTCTTATCGTCCGATAACACTCCTTTCCCCGGTAGCGAAGACACTCGAGGCCCTGCTACTCCCGTACTTCACAAACCACTTGACCCCAGCGAAGCATCAGGATGGTTTCCGTAAAGTGCACAGTACAACAACAGCACTTAACGCCATAAACACTCAGATAACTCGTGGCCTTAACCGAAACCGTCCCTGTGACAGTACGATTCTAGTAGCGTTGCACTTGTCAAAGGTGTTTGACACCGTCTGCCATTCCACGCTACTAGAAGATATAGAGGCCTCCTCTCTCCCACAGAGGCTCAAACGGTGGTCGGCTAATTATCTGAGTGGTCGACATTCGTCGGTTATGTTTAGAGACAAAACGAGTAAACAGAGAAAAATAAAACAGGGGGTTCCACAGGGTGGTGTCCTTTCCCCGCTACTGTTTAACTTTTACAATTCAAAGCTCCCTCAACCACCAGAGGGAGTCTCGATTGTCTCTTATGCCGACGATTGCTCGATCATGGCGACTGGGAATGGAATTGATGACCTGTGTTCGAAAGTAAACGGGTATCTCTCCGAACTTTCTCGCTTCTTCACTGCAAAGTGTCTAGCCCTCTCCCCTACGAAATCCTCCGCGACCCTGTTCACAACCTGGACGAAGGAGGTCAGGCTACCGCTGGGGATTCACGTCGATGACACACGAATTCCGACGGTGAATAACCCCAAAATACTCGGAGTAACATTCGACAGCCTGCTCTCCTTCTCTGCGCACGCAACCGCTATTGTCAATAAAGTACAGAGCCGCAACAAGGTCCTCAATTCGCTAGCCGGCAGTACTTGGGGCAAAGACAAAGAAACGTTGCTGGCAACATACAAGGCAATAGGCCGGCCGGTTTTGAACTACGCAGCGCCAGTGTGGTCGCCGGGGACTAGTAGGACGCAGTGGACGAAGCTACAGACTGTACAGAACACTGCACTCAGGACAGTGACAGGATGCCTTCTGATGTCGCCCGAACACCATCTACACGGCGAGGCGCAAATTCTCCCCGTAAAGGAGCACAATATAATGCTCTGCAAGCAGTTCCTGATAGGGAGCCTGATAGGCATTCACAGGGACTCAGTCTCGAGTTATGTAGACTCTAGACCTGTGAATGCCGTTCTAGGCACACCACCCCCGGACATTGACGAGACGGAGCTTCATCTGCCTCGGGAGACGCGCACCACACTTGCACAACTTCGCTCCGGCTACTGCAGCAGGTTAAACTCCTACCTGAGTAGGCTGAATGAGGATGTGCCTAATGAATGTCCGGCATGCGGAGAGACCCCACATGACTCGAAACATCTCTTCGCATGCCCGGCAAACCCGACATCCCTAACGACCTTGTCCTTATGGGCAAACCCCGCAGAAGCTGCACGCTTCCTAGGGTTGCCGTTAGTGGAACTTGACGACAACGACTGAGATACCAACCGATCTGGGCGGGGTTGTTGTAGCCGCTACAACAACAACAACAAGGGAGCCACAGAAGTGGCCACCCAAGCAGACAGGCCCTGAACGGCATTCACAGGGACTCAGTCTCGAGTTATGTAGACTCTAGACCTGTGAATGCCGTTCTAGGCATACCACCCCCGGACATAGACGAGACGGAGCTTCATCTGCCTCGGGAGACTCGCACAACACTTGCACAACTTCGCTCCGGCTACTGCAGCAGGTTAAACTCCTACCTGAGTAGGTTGAATGAGGATGTGCCGCATGAGTGTCCGGCATGCGGAGAGACCCCACATGACTCGAAACATCTCTTCGCATGCCCGGAAAACCCGACAACCCTAACGGCCTTGTCCCTGTGGACAAACCCCACAGAAGCTGCACATTTCCTAGGGTTGCCGTTAGTGGAACTTGACGCCAACGACTGAGATACCAACCGTCCTGGGCGGGGTTGTTGTAGCCGCTAGGACAACAACATCTCTTTTCTACATATTGTATTACCTAAGGTTATTTTACAAATATTTTTCTGTGTATTGGTGGATATTTTAGTGTGTTAGTGAAAAGGTTAAAAAAGCGCTTTTCTTGTAGGGTACGCACGTGAACATTGAAAATATAGTATATCACACAATATAAGTGTAAAGTGGTATTTTGTACAAAAATTTGGGGTGGTAGTGAAGATTATTTAACAACAAATTGCTTTAACTCTTAGCAACTATTTTGCGAGAGTGATATATTCATCTAGATAAAGCCTCCCCCAACATCCTCACCAAGTTTCATGACGAAATTCCAGCCTCCTGATGTCGCCCGAACATCATCTCCACGGCGAGGCGCAAATGCTCCCCGTAAAGGAGCACAACATAATGCTCTGCAAGCAGTTCCTGATCGGGAGCCACAGAAGTGGCCACCCAAACAGACAGCTGCTTGCAGAGGAGCCCTCGACTAGGCACGTCAGAAGGCATCTATATGAACTGACGGACGAACAACAACAACAACGAAATTCCTTATACTTTCCCTGAAATCTCGATTGGTTTCGTTTTGGAAAGCTAACCCAAATGCAGTTCCAACTGCAAATCCAAGATTTCAACAACATCCTAATAGGCCTACTTAGAAAATTGAGTCTGAAAATAGCAATTTAATCAGCTGTTCATAAAACTTGCAACTTCTTGCTGGTTTTGCGTTTTCGTACTTTCTTGCATATTTCTCCCATTGGGAGTAAATATTGGCTTACTCTGTAATTCTGGCAAGTTACTGGATATTTTTTGCAGGAAAATACGTAAACACAACTTTTAATCGCGTATTCTCGAAGATCATGAATAGTTGATATACGACAATATTTTACCGAGCCGACGGTATGTATATGGAAATTGACATACCTTGTTCCGTATTAACACATAACTCCGAAACATCACTCTCCAAAGAATTGTTATCTGGGTAATCATCTGTGCATGGAGCCCCACAGTTTGACAAACCGCTTTCGCTAACAATCGCGTCATTGTCAATAATTTCCTCTACTAAATCCGATACTTCATCCACAAACTCTAATTCTGACTTAGCGAAAACCTCCGAAAGTATTTTTTCTGAACCATTATCTTCACAAACACCCGCACTTTGGGATCCAACTAGGATTAGACTTTTGCTATTACAATTTGTTTCTTCCAAGATTGCCTCGTCAAAAACCTCTTTAGCGCCAGTTCCATCTGCACGAGCCATATCACATTCAAAATCAATTAGAATTGGGTCGATATTATAGCCTTGTATAGTCCGATTGAAGGAAGTAATTATTTGAACGCGCATTTCGCAAAATTTTTGAAGGAGCCTCTCAAATTCCAAAACGTTTTTGTTACACGCCTCACAAAGCAACTGAAAATATAAATTTCTATATTAAGGGCCGTTAAAAAACATTTTTGCGTTCTTACAGATGAATGAGCGCTCATTTCATCCAAATCTCTGCCAAGTGCCGTAGATAATATAATAGATAAAGGATTATCAACTCCTCCATCATCACGTAACCGGCTTTCAAAGATTAAAAAAGTACCTTCCCCTTCAACGAAATTGCGACCACATAAAAAGCAGTTGGCATTTTCTACAATAAATGCCTCTGTGGAAAAAGAGCAGTCTTTATGGACAGCTCTATTGCCACTTATGTTTTGTTGGGTGGATGTTAATACCATGTTTGGCATCTTTGTTTCCTTCACGCCCGACACTCGTGATAACAGAATTTTAAGAACATAAATTCTTTCTTACAAAACAACACAAAACTAGGCATGAATAGGGATGCAAACGATGCATCGATGTTTCTGAAACATCGATAACATCGGCCAAAAAACCGATGTTTACCATCGATATTTGAAAATTACTCAACATCGTAAAATTGGCGATATATCGATGTCAATTTTAACGATGTTTTAAGCATCGACTTTAGCTTCGGTTCAAAATTGCCATTGCGTTCACATCTTTATGTTATATTCTTTGGGCTCTGTCACACGGTCACTATTTATTGACGTGATCCAAGTATCGCGATATTTATTGACGGTGTAGTATGCAGTATTGATGGATCGTGATCCATATCGCAAAATTTCTAAAAATTTTGAAATTTGGATCGCGGATCGCAAAACCGTCAATAAATATTGAACGTGTAGCACTTTCAAAACGCGATCCATACATTTCTTTAGTACATCTTTTACTCTCATAATGTAAACATCGGCTCTGCCTTCACTCTCGGGGCTTAAAATCTTTCAAAACAAATTGAACAAATCTTAAAATAATTGTCATAAATAATAAATGCATTATCTGTAAATTATACGTACAAAATAAAAATATTTTCTTGCGTCATAATAAGCGTTCAGCAAAAAAAAAAATATGGAAATACTGACGCGCTAAATATTGAACATGTAGCATTCGTGCGCGATCCATCAATCCATCAATATGGATCGCGATCCAAATATCGTGATAATTTCTGACCGTGGGACAGAGCCCTTTGGGTAAGCGTAATACGGGTGATGGCAGCCCTGCACTTAATAAAAGCAATTGGCAACGTTGAACATAGGCGATTTCCATGACGTAGTTACAGTATTTCAACACGACTTAAGGTGAGTGTAAGTATTATCTGCTCGTAAACAGCAAATCTATTATGACATTGGAAGGAAATCTGATTAAATTCAAGAAACCACCCATTGAAATGTTAACAGTGTAGCAGTTTAGATGGACACTAGGTTTTTCTTACAATTTTAACAAGCATTAAGTCAGTTCCAGGTATTTCAGGATTTGCAGGTTTTACAGGTAAAGCGGTTTTCGCCATTAATAAACCTTATGGAAGGTGGCGTACGTTAACAGCTTCCTGTAAAAACCTGCAAATCTTGAAGTACCTGTAACATACTTATTAAAAAAGAGAAACATCGGAAAATGGCGATGTATCGATAGTTTTGGGGCGATTTTTTTCGGCATCGATGTTAGTGTTTACGATACATCGAAATATCGATGTATCGATGTTGGCTCTGAAAATTTGCATCCCTAGGCATGAAACGATACAAATAAACACAAGTACATACTCGATACTTTTCGATCGATACCTAGTACTTTGGGTATCGATACGGTCAAGGTGCAGTTCATGGTCCCCACCGAAAAATGGTGCAATATAATCGAAAGAGGAATCAAACGACGCGTACTGACGCCAGAGTTAAGAATCCGAAGTATACTAAAATCGAACGGGTTTCTACGAATAACTTTTGAGCGGTTTCAAAAAATCAGTTTCCGCATTCGGATTCTTAACTCTGGTGTCATTACGTGTCGTTTGATTCCTCTTTCGATTATATTGCACCATTTTTCGGTGCGGACCATGAACTGCACCTTGACCGTATCGATACCCAAAGTACGGGTGGGCTTTAGTAGTCAGCCGCACCTTGTGTTTTATGAAAACCAGGTGGAATTAACAAATGAAACTTGGTCAGGATGTTAACTAAAAAATATAAACAATATCATTGGCGCATATTCATAGTCATATTTAGTACTCAACTAAGTCGAAACTATTCTAAATCACAACTAAAGCTATTCATAGTCGCCTTAGTTTCGACTTTTCTGGCTAAGTACCAACTTAAAATTTAGTTTCGGCTGCAGCTGCAACTATGTCGTAACTGGGAAGAAGTATTTTATCAAATTAAGGGAAAACAGGCGAAATATGTAAAAATTAAGTTGGTAGAGGGTGATTTTGATAATATTGAATAATCTCCAATTAAAAAATTCAAATTTCATTTTAATCGGAAGATAAAATTAAATGCGTATTACATTTCGAATAAAGCTACATAACAATTTTATAATTGGAATAATTTAGATAAATAATAAGTCAGTTTCACGCTAGCTCTTTTAAATTAAATTTGTGCATGACATTTAGATATCTACTATTTGTATGTTTCACAGCATGCTGTCGATAAACATCGACTTCACATCACTGCGGTTGTTCTGGCTATTTCACACATTTAACAAGAAAATGATACCCTATTCTTTTGCATAATCATGCAATGAAAATAAAAATTACATAAACGGATGATCAAACTTGATATTATTTAATAAATGTGTAATTTTTGCAAAATATCGTAAAGAAAAATCGATACATTTTCAGACTCGTTTTGCTATATTGTAAACTAAGTCGAAACTACTTAGTAGAAGTCTGAAATGCGACTATGAATAGAGGTAAATTTTAAGTTGGTACTTAAATTTAAGTTGCAACTTTGTTAGTTTCGACTTATACAGCATTTTTGCTGCATTTAAAATGCAACATTTAGCACTTTCGAACATATGTTTTCGAAGAGCGTTCATGCTATCGCATTTAGCAAATGTACATTTACGCGAGTTCGAAATCGTATGCTTTTGACAAACAGCCTTGTTCCAGTCCCTTATTCAGATCCGTATCTATTACGATAAATTCTCACAGAAAAGATAATGTGCAAAAACCCTACTGAAAAGGAAAAAATAAATTCTAAACCGAAAATTCAATACAAAAACTCGGGGTACTGTTTAGTAAGTGACCCACTTATTTCGGGGTATTGCGTCCAAAGGGGTGACCCGATCCAAAAAAATTGCACACACTTGTAGCCAAGGGTCTACCCATTATTTTAACATCCACTATTGTAATTTTTGGTCACTAATTTATTTACAAATTGGGTTTGAAATATGCCCTTTTTTGTAAAATTCGGAAATTAGCGTACATTTATCACTCCTATTTTCCTTAAAGTAGCCACTTCACCAATGCATTTTTATATTCCCCTTCACTTTAAACTTTATTCGACTTGTTACAACTTTCTTTATTACTTTAATTTTAACCTATCAATCACAATTTATTAAATAAAAACACCTTCAATACCTCTGCCTTTGGTTGCATATGCAAATTAAATGGCGGCGTTTAGCTGTCAATCTGCTAAATATACAAGAAGGATGAGAGACAAAAGAAAATATGATATAAGCCAGTCAGCATTAAAAGGCCGCCTACGCAGAAAGGTGTTCTCTGCAAAAGGAGTTCAGCCCCCTTTCTTTGGCAACACAGAAGAGAATTCTACGTAGTGAGAGTTATAATCCCTAAGTGCGGCCGAAGGCCGCCTATGCAGAAAGGTGTTCTCTGCAAAAGGAGTTCAGCCCCTTTTCTTTGGCAACACAGAAGAGAATTCTATGTAGTGAGGGTTATAATCATTGAGTGCGGCCGAAGGCCGCCTACGCAGAAAGGTGTTCTCTGCAAAAGGTGTTCAGCCCCCTTTCTTTAGCAACACAGAAGAGAATTCTACGTAGTGAGGGTTATAATCGCTAAGTGCGGCCGAAGGCCGCCTATGCAGAAAGGTGTTCTCTGCAAAAGGAGTTCAACCCCCTTTCTTTGGCAAGACAGAAGAGAATTCTACGTAGTGAGGGTTATAATCCCTAGGTGCGGCCGAAGGCCGCCTACGTAGAAAGGTATTCTCTGCAAAAGGTGTTCATTCCCCTTTCTTTGGCAACAGAGAATTCTACGTAGTGAGGATTATAATCCCTAAGTGCGGCCGAAGGCCGCCTGCGCAGAAAGGTGTTTTCTACAAAAGGTGTTCAGCCCCCTTTCTTTGGCAACACAGAAGAGAATTCTACGTAGTGAGGGTTATAATCCCTAAGTGCGGCCGACGGCCGCCTACGCAGAAAGGTGTTCAGCCCCCCTTCTTTGGCAACACAGAAGAGAATTCTACGTAGTGAGGGTTATAATCCCTACGTGCGGACGAAGGCCGCCTACGCAAAAAGAAGTTCTGCGCTAAAATACTATCATATTACTATTACTACAACATTTCTATCTGTGGCTTTTTCTTAATTTCACAATATCTTTAGTTTTTTTCCTTAATTTTTTTTTTTTAGTTATTTTTTTTTTCAAATCGCCTGATAACCAACTTGGGATAATTTCTTTTATTTAAAAATCCCACGGTTTTCGTTAGTTGGGATACATACCACTTCAAACTGCTCAGTTTTCCTCGGAAAATGCCGTTTTTACCCCATTTTCAAACGGTTCCCTAGGGGTCTGGGGTAGGTACCCAATGTTGCTTTTCGTAAAGTGGCGACTGTCCCCTTTCGAATGAGGGGGGTTTGGGGGCCACGTCCCCACCCCCTCCGCCCCCCACCCCAAAAACGATGGGCCAATAACTAAACATTTCCCAAAACTTGAATTCTTTTAACCATAACCGAACATTTGTTTGTGTATATATTCATTTGTCGGTTCTGTCAATTATAATTTCCACACTTAATTAGGAAACAAAACAAACAGAGTTGGTCACAAAGTAATCCAGATTTCTATCAGCATCATATCGATGTTGAATTTGCGTAACTTTTCTTTATCCAAATAATGTAAAATAATAAATGAAATCTCGATCGGCGATCACTGAAACGCAGGTAGCGACTGTATACTCGAAAAAGCAATGTTGCCACTTTTGCTCATTAAACCATGTTCAAATCGTGGAAACTTTGGAAGATCACAGGGTTGCTTTTAGCATTTAGATTCTTAATGCAAAAATGGAGTTGCATTTAGTTGCATTTAGGTGACGAATTTTTTATGGATAAATGTACATTTAGAGTAGCATTTAGAGCTAAATGTGCTTTTACGCGTAAGCAAAAACAACCCATTAGTTGCTGGACTATGAATACGCGCCATTGTCTATAAGTTATTTGTTGTTAAAATTTCTTAAGTCGTTCCACTTGGTTTCCTTAACAAAAAGTGCATTTGTCACATACTTTCATATATATAAATGCACATAACACTGTACTTAATACTTTACACACTTTTATTTTATTTTATCTTGT